AAAAACAACAAAGACATATAAAAACTTTGTTTCAATCTTATTATTTTCTTTGCATTTATATGCTCACTCGTTATAAATAATGATAGTCCAATAATATAAGATTCATAATGTGTTATTTCTTTGTTGAGTTGACCATGAGTAGTGATGTGGCAGAGTACGGGTCAGCCGGAATAGTGTCTGTTGCAGGCGATGTATATAGTTATGGAATCGTGGTGATGGAAACATTTACAAGAAAGAAACCCACGGGTGATTTATTCATGGGAGAAGTGAGTTTGAAGAGTTGGATATCGGAGTGTTTTCCAAGTGCAATGATGGATGTTGTGGATGCTAATTTAGTGAGTGAAGGGGAAGATAACGTTACTGCCATTCAAAATTGTTTGTCTTCTATCTTGAAATTGGCTCTGGAATGCACATCAGATTTACCTGAGGAGAGGGTTAATATGAAAGATGCCTTAATTAGGCTCAAGAATATCAAAAACATAATTCTTGAGAATTTAATGAGGCCCTGAATAAAACCACTTGGCTGCAAGTAGTTCTGGTTTCTTCTTTAATTATGAAGTAATGTCTTACGTAGTATGGTACAACATTTGATGTTGGGTTGAAGTTAGTCATAAATGCTGTAACTTAATAGTATTGTTTTTATTTTTTTATTTTTATTTTTTTCTTCCCCTCAAGCAAGTAGCTTCATGGTTTATGAATAATTGTTTTGCAATATCTTAGAAATTTTTAACTTGTTCGGTTTGCATCCGTCTTACTATTATTATTCTTATAGAACATATAAGTTTTTTCTTTTTTCTCTTTTAACCAAATTAGATTCATAACCTTTACTGGCCGCATCAAATGTCATGAGAGTTGTTAATTGGGTACGCTAATAATACCATGTTATTGGTTATGTACGTAACTAGGCACAACGTTATATTTTTCCCGAACATTTTTATATGTAGAATAACTCTGTTTTCTACTAAATGGATTTAATGAATGTTAACCCTTGTTAATCCATAAAATTTGTCCTGGCCTATGAGTAAAAAATATTGACAAAATGTCTCAATTGGCATTATGCATGCGCACCTAATATCTTCTTCCCAACTCATCATCTAAATTTTGTTATAAACGGATTTAATGAATGTTAACCCTTGTTAACCCATAAAATTTGAGACAATGGATGGGATTAAGTTTATACTTTAGAGCCCAAATTTATTTTAGGTGGGATTTGGACAAATATTTTACTACCCTGAACAACCTAAAGATCCTTATATATAAAAATAGTTTATATCTTTTTATATTTTTAAGGTTATACATCATTTGTGTAAAATAAAGTTAAAATTAGATTGTTCAGAGTATCATCATGGATATTCAACAAACTTAAAAATTTAAAGTAAAAAATTATAATAATTAAATTTTAATTGGGGAAACAAAATAATAAATAATATAAAATTTTGAGCTCTTTCCAAATGCTAATAAGAATATATTCTACTAACTCCCACAAATTTTAATCATACAAAGTCTCAAAGAAAATATTAATCGGTGTTTGCTGCTATTATTCTCATAGTTCGTTTATAGAAAACTTAGTGTGTGAAACTCTGAATGAATGATTTTTCTTTTATTACAAGTTAAAATTATTGCAATACTGTCATACTACACATAATTTGGTTTATTTTTGTAACATTACCGATTTTTTTTCTTTCTATTTTCTAAATTCTGGAATTTATTTGATTTCTCTAGATTATTTTAATCCTTGCCTCGTTTTACATGCCATGCGGGTTCCGAGGGGCGTTTTGGTCAATTATTGAGTCGAGGGTTTTAGAAGTGTATTTTTAATCATTTTAAGTTAATTAGAAGCGACGGTGTCATTTTTAGAATTTTTGGAGGTCGGCACGATTTCCGGACTCGGGAACTTCTCCCAGTTTTCTCACTTTAAGTGAGAGGCGTTTTCGGCATTTCATATGTGTATGTGTATATTTATACATTTATGTATGTTGTATTAGTGGTATTTTATGGAAGGAGGTATTTTATGGCAAGGTTAAAGTTACAAAGAAGTTCAAGGGGCATTGTTGTCATTTTGACTCATGGAATAGCCTAGAGAATTCTAGAGACAATGAGGTGTCTCCTTTTGGCCCATTTCTTTCTTTCTTCTCCTCATTTTTGGACCAACCCACAAGCTCTCTTCCTCTATTTTCTTCTTTCTCTCTCTATATCTCTCTCCTTCTCTCTAAAATTTGTTCATGCTAGAGAGGATTTGGTTTAAGCCATTGTTGGCAAATTGTAGACCATTGCAAGGGCTACATCTTGGTACTGATGTTTCAAGCTTTGGGAGGGATTTGAGTTGGGAGCTTGGAGCTTGGAGCTTGAGTTTCTATCTTGAGGTAGGGGGGAGTCTAACTTACAAATTCCTATAGTTTTAGTGAGTTTCTATATGTCTCCTTGCATGATAATTTTAAGGTTGTGAAGCATGCTTATTTTTAAAAAAAATTTTGGTTAAGATGTTAAGCATAGATTGTGATGATTTAATTGTTGAAGGATGAGAAAATGATGGTTTCTTGTATTTGTGCCAAACATGCCACTTTTCTATGAGAAAATGTGAAAGTATAATCTATGTTATCAATTTGTATATTTGGATGTTTGATATGATAACTTAAATGTAAATTATGAATTTCATGAATGTTAAAGTGATTTAATCCCATGATCCCTTTTCTTTGAATCCCATTCTCTGGTTGTGGCTCACAGGATTTTTAGGAATGTGATTTAGGCTTTACTCTACTGAGCTGTTGAGTTCACCCTATCAATATTAACATTTTTCAGGGACTTGAGATGAGCCGGTAATTGATGTACATCCATGGATATCAATGTAGATAGGACTTCATTTTTTTTATACCAAAGCTATGTAAATTTTGGCCATGGAGGCCTTACTCTTGTATTTAATTCTTTGCATAAAATGAGACTTTTGTAATTCGGTCTTTAAATGATGTATTGGACTTGTATTTGGGGATACAATTAAATACAATCTCACAAAATCATTGGTGCATTTTCTTGGAACGTGTTATGTATCATTCAAAATATTTATTACCAATATTGTTATCGTATTGGGTTTTGAATTGTATATAAATACGTACACGTGCAATGGTGGTAATTAGGTGATTGGTTATTAAAGTTGGTGTACATGGGACAGTGGGAATTGCGAGTGTGGATAACCCAAAACTAGTCGACGTATAGCATGAACCGGTCGACGTATGGCATGAACCAGCCGACGTGTAGCTTCCCACATGTCGACCGGTATCCTGACAGTGAGTTTTTCACTATACATGTCCCAAACCAGTCCACGTGAATACCACACGTCAACCGGTATCTTGGCAGTGAGCCAATCATTGTGCGTGACCCAAACCAGTCGACGTATAATGTGTACACGTCGACCGATTCTTGTTCCATAAATTTTTTATTTGGTTTCCCTAATTATTCATTTATTTAAAGTTACGAGTATTTATTTTATGACCCAATAAAACTCAATAATTATATTTTAACCACGGAAAGGACTATATTGCCCGGACTTTATCTTAATTATTATGTGATATAAGTAAATGACTATTATACCCCTGAAGTCTCAAAATAATAGAATTGTGACGAATGACTATCTCGTCCTCGTTGGACTGTTATATATAAATTTAACGTGAAAGGACCATAATACCCTTGGATGATTCTGGGTTGGGTAAGGACCCGTTTAATGATCCGGATCCATGAGGAGCTGGGTCGTTACATTTTTGTTACATGATATGAGAAAATTTATTTCATGTCAAATCTATGTGGTCATACATTTTAATATTTTATTTTATTGTAATGTTTATTTATTAATAGGTTATTAGAATTTGGGTAACTTAAGAAACTCGTGCGATATAGCATGGGCTAAGATGAGATACGTTTCTTGAAACTTGTACTTAGCGCACGCTAAGGTGTTAGAACTTTGATTTTGACATGGGCTAATCTCTTGGCCGGCTCAACTCTCCCAAATCCCACCCCTATGACAAAGGAATATCTAAAGAATTGTTATATTTGGCTATATAAAATTGGAGTATTGGAATTAAAATTGTGGCCAAATACAGCCTAAAAGAAATTTCTATGGACAGTTACAAGGCTAGTTGCATTATATGGGACAAAATGTTAAAAAAAAAATAAAATAAAAAATAAAAAGGAGAACTTTCATGTAGTTTAAATATGATTAATAATCAACACATTGTAAGATAGATGGACCGACTAGAAAAAATATGATTAATAATCATGTGAAGGAAAAAATTAGAAGTAGATCATATTAGTAATAAGAGAAAGTAAATTTAAGTGGTATTGGCGACAGTCCATTATTGAAGAATTTAAATATTAATGTTACATAATTTTTAGGGACTTTAGTTTTCTTTGAAGATATGGTGGTTAATAAGGTTTCAAAGTAAATTCTATGTGTTCAAATTTAATAGCACCTTGATAATTAAAATTGAAACACGTGTTAGACCCATACCTGAGGATGAATTCACGTGGAATGAAATGGTTAAAAAAATAAATATAATAGGTACATGGATTAGTAATCACTTGGTAGTTCAAACCAAAAATAAGGAATAGGAATAACCCATCTCAATAAATATACTTATTAATCATACTAAAAATACAAAAAAGGCTTGTGCAACATATAATTACAGTGGCCTAGTTGGTAAAGTATCTAACTCCCTGAACGGGGTGTACCCATCAGCCCGTGATCGAGTCCCCCCCACCCCCTAATTCAGGCCAGGCCATGGGCATAGACGGTTGGCCTATCGAAATCAAACACACTTTACTCTTCTTTTCTCTTTTAGAACGAGCCCTAAACATTCGGGCTTTGCATTTGAAAATTCATCTAGGGCCTCTCAAAATTTTGAAAATCTCAAGCAGGCCCAGAACTAATTTGCCAGGAAAAATAAAACATTTAGTAACAAATTGAAGACGTGACAGATGAAGCAATGATTTGGTTCAAATGCGCATGGGCAAGCAAGAGAAATCACAACCTTTGTTCATTAAAGTTGAAATATAGGAATAAACTCTAAAAATTGCCAGGCCACAATTCCCCTGAAAATACAGCATTAAAGTTTGTGAATATTTGAACCAGTTTACATTACATCTAACAAATCAACCAGTTCTACAGTATTTTCGACATTGGTGGCTTCTACGGTCGAGGCTAGTTGGATAAATCAAAATTTTCATCAGATGCAAGTTTGGCAAGCGTACAAAATCGTCTCCACCAGAAGCCTATTACTACTACAACAAACTAGTTTCTTCACCAAAACCAATGACCTAAGACCAAAAACCCTAAATGATAGTGTGCACAAAACATAAGTTAGCAAGGAAGCATATATTACTGGCTTTGACTGGTTTCACACACTTCACCAGAGGTCCTATGCCTTGGGAGACTGGGTAGCATGAAAGCTAGAGCAGCTACCTACTTTCGAAGATGGTCTGTTATATTTCACCAGTGGCACCAGTGACTGCACAACATCTGCCATCAATGGCCTGTAATCTGCCTCTGGTTGCACACACATTGCAGCAATAGCAGCCACCTGAATAACGTCCTTCATTGAGTATTGACCCTCTAATGCTGGATCCATAATTTGTACAACCTTCTCCCTATCCGTGAGGCAGGGCAAAGCCTTTTGCACAAACCAGCAGTAGAAATGAGAAAGTGTAAGAAAGCAAAGGAAAATAAGAAAGAAAGAAGAAAAGGAAAAATAGATTATGTCAACAGATGGGGTGGACCTTAACAACTAAGAGAATTCCTATCATGTTATAAAATGGAATTATCAATGTAAAATCAATTGCAGAAAGGAGATGAGAAAACCCACCCAAGATACAAGAACACCTTCTCCAGGAGCTCTCTTCATATCAACTGGAACTCTGCCAGTAAGCAACTCCAGAAGGACAACTCCATAACTATAAACATCTGATTTTGTTGTCAGATGCCCAGTTAACGCATACCTGTACAGGGGACCAACCAAAGTTCAACATAAAGTAATAAAATTTGCAATGGTGAATAATTTGTTGGAGAGAGAAATAAATCCAACAATTAATAAAGAATAAAGAACCCTCTATATGATGGACGCCTATGAAGCACGGACACGGGTACTACACGACATGGACACGGACATGGTGATATGACAGATTTCAAAAAAATAGGACACCGACACAAGGATATGGCAATAAAATAATAATATATATACATATACATATATATGCATATACATATATATACACATATATATATTTTTTTTTACTCAATTTCTAATTTACATTTAACATACATAACTTTAGGCCCATTATTCTCTTAAAAAATATAGGCCCAAATACCTTTAAAATATAAACAAAAAAAGGAAGTGGTATATATTTGTATCTAAAAGTGGAATTGTTATTCTTATAACCAAACGGGTTCAAAAAGATAAGACTGCAATCTTATCACTTCTCTCTCCCCCTAGGGTTTGTTATTATCTTTTTTTACGCAGCATCCCCGTTATCTTTAGGGAACAAGATGACAGAGAGGAGGAATTGATCGCAAACAACCAGCCTATTTTAGAAACTTTTCACCAGTCGAAAAGGGCAAAAAGTCTGAAAATGGAAGTTCTCTCTCCTCCTGGACCGAGTCTCTCATTTCCTCCATCACTTAGCCTCTTTATCTCCCTCAATCTGTATTTCTATGAATACATTCAACCACACACATCTATATATCTCTTTATCCTCTATTTTTTTTCAAAAAAAAAAAACTGAACCTGTCTCCTATGCATGTTGCCGGCGTGTCATTTTTCCGTGGCCCATGTTCGACATGAAAATAAAAATTAAAAAAATAGGACACCTCTACAGAGGTGTCGGGCACGTGTCCAACACCAGTACGACAGCCCATTCCCACATGTCAGGTGCATCATAGATGGACGCAAAGATTTCACGGGTTCTTACTCAGGGGCAACATATCCCTGGGTGCCTAGTACTCTGGTGGAAACATGTCCACCAGCTTTGTCAGATCCAAGCTTAGCCAATCCAAAATCAGAAACTTTTGCGTGAAAATTTTTGTCCAACAGGATGTTACTGCTCTTAAAATCTCTGTGAATCACTGGAGGGTTGACACGTTCATGGAGATATTCCAAACCCTTTGCTGCTTCCAAAGCTATTCTCAACCGGGTTTCCCAGTCCAACTTTGAAGAAACAGACTTGGAACCTGCAGATACAGACAAACCAAAACATTAATATAGTAAGTACAAAAACTGTTATAAAAATTATTTAAGCGACCATGAAGTCGAGATACAAGAAGGAGAACACAAACTACATAATTTATACCAAAAAGACTGCTCAACTGCAAGAAAATTTACCAGCAAACCAAAAATGCCTTCTAGGATCCAGACATGCATATAGACTGCGACAAACTCACATTTGATCAATTGATTAAGGTTGTGCCCACAACAGGTACTTGAAAGAACACAGGTTTGATGTTTTAGTTTATAAGATGATTGCAGATTTTGCATGCAAGGCTTGAAATTTTGGCCAACACCAGATGAGCCAAAATGAGTTCCCATCATCTCTATCTCAACGAGTGGCAAGAAGAAATTCTGATCAAGTTACCAGAACATATTGAAGCTTTAAAAGATCATCCAAAAGAAGAGTCTGCTCGCCTGACAGGTGATAATATCAGAAAAATAAACCAACTTAAACTTGCTGCCTGAAACTTTTTCCAGCCAACCCAAGTCAAGCAGAGACTTTTCTGTTGGAAAAAGGAGCTCATTTGAGTCACAAAGCTAAACCTCTTGCTTCTGTTAACCTCTAAAGGACTCTAGCAGTGTCTTTTAACATCTAACTCAAAAGTTCGACCACAATGAGCTAACAATTCGTGATTGTATTTATAACAGTTAAACCTAAATTTCCTGCATAGAAGATATCCCACTGTTGAACCAGACAACAAATTACCTGATACTGGCAATGGAAAGAAACACCATCGAATGGGGGCCAAATAAATATTCAACTATACAACAAAAGAAAAAAACTATATCACCCGAGTTAATTCTTATAGAACATTTATGATGAAAGCAAATTTAAGTGACGTTAAATGGCATATATCATCACATGAAATCCATTTGGTTTACTCTATATAAGATGGCTCTCAATCCTACATTGATCCTAACAAGCAAGGCTAGAGATAAACATACATGATGCATTACACTAGACAAATTTATCAGATATGGGATTGCAATAAAAACTTCAACTCAAGACTTCTTGAAGAGCATATTGAAACAAATAATAGCAAAGATGAGTTCAAGAATAGTCAATCTGGAAAATCTTCAATGGCCACAAGGCCCACAGTGTAGCTGTTACAAATTCATTTCAGAACAATGGTACTCTGCAACAATCCCAACAGCACCATCATCATCTTCTCTATTGCAACTTTTTTTTTTTTTGATAAATAAAAGAATATTATTAAAAGACGCTCAAGAGGGGAGCGAAACCCAAGGAAATACAAAAGAGCACAAAGGACTCAAGCCTTCATAGAAGCCAAAAAATCAACAATTTCCCCCAACGATCTATGATCTCTCCCTAAAACCCAACAAAAAAGAGTTGAAATAATCGAGAATTTAAGCACTGAAATCGACATCACCTTTCCTTCAAAGTATCTCCTATTCCTTTCAAGCCAAATACACCACCACACACAAAGTGGCGTAGCTCTCCACGCATCCTGACTGAGAGCCCCCACATGGCAACCTCTCCACATCTCAATCAACTCTCTAGTAGATCCTGGCATAACCCAATAAAACCCAAATAAGCCAAGCATCAAATCCCAACACTCTAGCCAAAGAGCAATGAATAAGAAGGTGATCCACAGATTCCTCATCACGAAGACACATATAACAACGATTGACCACCACCTGGCTTCTCCTTCTCAAATTATCCTGGATTAAGATCCTACCCAGAACCGAAGTCCACACAAAGAAAGCCACTTTGAGAGGAGCCTTAGAACACCAAACAGACTTCCAAGGAAAACGAACTCCAGGATCAAAAGAGAGGCACTTGAAGAAAGACCTCACCTCAAAACGCCCCTTGGAGTTTGCGACCCAATACCAACAATCCGAATCCTCCACCACAATCCTCTGGTGATATAACAACTCCAAGAGACGAATTGCCTCATCAATCTCCCAATCCTAAAAGGCACGCCCGAATCGAACATCCCAAACCAGTCTCCCATTATCAAGATGATAACAGTTAACCACCAAGGCCTGCCTATCCGAAGCAATCCTGTAAAGCTGAGGAAAGGCAAGAGCAAGAGGAGCATCACCACACCACACCACACATCCTCCCAAGAACAAATCCTCCTCCCATCTCTAAGACGAAACCGAATGTGCTTGGAAAAATCATCCCAACCCTTCCGAATAAATTTCCAAACTCCCACCCCCCGAGGATTTCTAACTTCCAAAGAGCTCCACCCTCCTCTCATCTCTCCAAAACGACAAGGCACAACCCTCCTCCAAAGCCAATGTCTCTCCACACCAAACCTCCACAACCATTTTCCAAGAAGGGCCTTATCAAAGGGCACCAATCTACGAAGACCCAGCCCACCATTCCGAATAAGCCTGCATACCTGATCCCATCTCACCAAATGGAACTTAAACTCTTCACCTCTGCCCCCCCACAGAAAATTACGCTGCAACCTCTCAATCCTCTCCGCAACTGAAGATGGAATCTAAAAGAGAGAGATAAAATAAGTGGGAAGGCTAGAGAGGGTACTCTTAATCAGAGTGACCCTGCTGCCCTTGGAAAGATACTGCTTCTTCCAACCTGCCAACCTTTTCTCAAATCTATCCACAACTGGATCCCAAATCCCCACACACCTCGAAGGAGCTCCCAGAGGCAAACCTAAGAAAGAAATGGGAAAAGCACCAGTGCGACATCCAAGGATGTCAGCAAAAGTCTCAATCTCAGGAACCTCCCCAACCGGCACCAAAACGCTCTTGCCCACATTCACCTTAAGGCCGGAGACGACTTGGAACCAAATCCAGACACATCTCAGATATCTAATCTGGGACACATTCACATCACAGAGAACCAGAGTATCATCAGCAAACATCAAATGAAAGATCTCCAACTGAGAAGCAGCATCCCTGCATACCCGAAAGCCTCTCACAAGACCCAAATTAGCAGCCCTTCGCATCAATCTACTAAGGGCCTCCATCACAAGCAAGAACAAGAAGGGGGAGAGAGGATCCCCCTGTCTCAAGCCCCTTGGGCTAGAGAAAAAACCGGTAGGAGCACCATTAACAAGGACCGAAAAGCGAGCACTGGAAATACAAAACTGAATCCATCTCCTCCACCTAACACCGAACCCCATCCTCTCCATCAAGTACAGAAGAAAGCTCCAACTCACATGGTCATACGCTTTCTCAATGTCCAACTTACAAAGAACACCCGGGACCCCACTACGCAATCTGTAGTCCACACACTCACTAGCAATAAGGACTGAATCCAAAATCTGACGGCCTCCTACAAAAGCATTTTGAGAGTCCGAAATGATACCATCCAAAACTTTTCTCTATTGCAACTTGCACCCATTGCACCCATCAATTAGCTAACATAGCTACATTACAACATATTGTTGGTTTCAATAGGCAGAAGAATGCATGGTAAGATAAGAAAGGATAAAAATAAAAATAAACACATTTGTGAAACAATTGAAGTGAAAAATTTTGGAGATAAAATGCACGAAATACAATTTAAATAATTTGATCACGTAGAGAAAAGACCAATAAATGCACCAATAAGGAATAGTAACGGTCTATATCAAGGATAAAGGAGAAGGGAGGGGGTTAAACTAAAATTAACATTTGATTGAGATGGTAAGGAAAAATATAGCAAGTGGGTTGACTGAGTAATGGAATAATGAAAAGCATTTACGTATCCAACTACAAATAGTTGGGAAAAGCCTTGTTGAGTTCAGATTATTGTTTGCTTCATTAAGCATTCTATTGAACATCAATCCCACACCTGCTTCTTCCTCTTGTTTTAAAACCCGCAGATTGACATTACCTAATCTTGGGCTGACCAAAGAGGTGTTGCCATTCTCAATGCTTCAGCCACTTACAAACAGCCTACAGCCTGGATCTTTAGATCTACCATGTTTTGCAACGATATGTCTCCAGGAAACCCTTCGTAACTTGGCTTTTCAAAAATTACAGGGCCAGGTGATAGAGTCACCTGCTTTCTAGACTTCTGATTTACCTCATTACTTTAAAATTCTACGCCAAGTTCGTTTTCTTCTCCACTTAGATGTTGGCTATAAGTTACATTAACATTTTTTCTGGCATATGGTAATTAATAAATAGCATGAATACTTTAGAGGAAACCATGCCAATATTAGACAGAATACTACTCCCTCTGTCCCAAGAAAAAATGTCCAACTCTTAAGGAGAGGAAGTAAATAAGCCCCAGCAACGCAGAGCCCCATTCGCCAGTCGCTCACTATCCTATGAAGATTCTTTTGTTAATAAGTCTCTGTAAAATAAGTTTGCCGAAGCCATGCATACCCCTTACAATAGAACAATAGATACAATAGAGTGCTTCGCGCCACACTGGACACTTTTTTATAAGCTCCTAGTGCACGGAAAGTCCCTCCAAATCAGAAACACAAGATTTTGAAATAGAAGATCGCCCCCTTACTCAGTGGTGGAAGTGTCTGAGATATTTTGTTGGATGTTAGGCCCTAAAAATTACCTGGAGGGGGCCTCCTCTCAACCAGTCCGTTAGGCCTCTGGGGAGTTTGTCGATGAACTGTCTTACGCTTGTTGCGTTCCCTAGTTCGAGTGCTAAGAGGACCTTATGTCCTAATATCCTTAGTGTGAAAAGCGTTAATCATTAGATTCAGAAATCTCCTCTTTGACCGAGGGACACTAACTAGTTCAATTGTGGATCCGCTCTAGTTGGCTAAAGTTCAATTGAAAGAGCAGAAGAAATCAGCCACGCCAGCAGACACATCAGCCTAATTCCACAGCATGTTTACAATATTGCAATTGGGATAAATGGAATGGAAGTTTTGCTTTCCTCAGTTACTCAGCCCCTTTCCTGCGGCCGCCGTGAATAAGGCCAACGCTTTGAGTTAGTATTGAGAAGCTTGTATCAACCAATTCAGATTATAGGATAGTCACATTGGATTGCTCCAAGTATGCCTCCCCCTAGACCATTCATATAGATGAGAAGGGGACCTCCAGCTGACACCTGTGGTAGTTCTCAGAAAGGGCAGCGACTCAAAGAAACTAAAAAAAAAAAGAAAGAGACATAATGTCTCGATGGCGGAGAGAGGTGAGGCCTAGATTCGAATTACTGTCATCAGCCTGTTATCCCCGGCCTATCTTTGATCCGTTGAGCGAGAGCCCTTCTAGGTCTTTCCATTTTTAATGGCCCTAAATGATTCTTTTTCAACTGTTCGAAGCCAAAAAAATTTGTTGTCCCAAAATAAATGTCTCATTTGAAAAGTCAAAGTACTATTTTTTGTAACATTACCAATTTAAACTTCTTGCATTCAACTTATAAAAGTAAGCAATCACATCGATGTGGACCCACTATGGATATTTTGGCAATTCATTCTCTACCACTATAATAAAAAAATACTAACACTCATCCCCTTAAAAAGTTAGTTTACCTAAAAGGGACGTTTAATTTGGGACGGAGGGAGTACTAAAAGTCTGAATCATGCATTGACACAAGCTGCCCAAAGACTGGACAAGTCCAAAATTTAAGTATTAGTTGCTGATTTCAGATTATCAGTTAACATATGTACTAAACTGGTCAGCATAAGTATCTGTGTCAGTAATCAGGACATGATCGAACCATTTTTTCCCACATCATAACCTTCTTTCACCCTCTGTCCTAATCCGCCACACTTCTCTACAACCCCAATTATTGACACATAACGAATTCCAATTAATATAGTAGACATTGACTTGAAACACCTTCTCTTCAAAACAGGATTAAAAACTACTAATTCAAAAAAATTTAAGAAATAAATAAATAAAAAGAACCACTCCAGACAATACATTTCAAGGAAGCCGTATAGACCCGAGGCTTTCTAGTTCCTCATTAACATAATCAATGTTTTTCTTCTGAACCCTAACTTCATAAATTAACAACTTTGATTTTGTTGTCTGTCCCCGTCTTTTCACCATATCTGGTTTTTGGAGTGGTCCATTCTCATAACCGCTTATTGATTCTTATCCACAAATAAAAATAATAATAATAAATAAATAAATGCTTATTGATTCATGACAACTTAGTGACACAATCAATTCCTATTTATAATATAATCTACCTGTTCTGGAATGACAAAATAATTGTGTAATCTTACTAATTACCATGCGTCTAATCAGGCCCATTTTCCAGGGAACAATGATTTAAAATTTTAGAACCCACTTACCACTGATGGGATACAAATGCTCCTGCAGACCACCATTAGCCATGAAGTCATAAACCAACAATTTATGGTTATCATCTGAACAGTAGCCTATCAATGCCAGCAGGTATGGTGAACAGAGTCGACTCAACAGTTCTACCTAATTATTCAATAAAACCAACCAATCAATAAGAAGAAAACGCAATCCCATCCGACACATTTCATATAGAAGATGTTTAGACTTTAGAGAGATCGAACCTCTACTTTAAATTCCTCTTCTCCCTGCTTTCCAGCTCGATCCATCAACTTGACTGCAACCTTCCTCCCATCTTGTAGAACTCCTCGGTACACTAACCCAAACCCACCGTGTCCAATCACATTAGATTTGCCAAAACCACCAGTGGCCGAATGTAGCTGCTTAAAGGTGAAGAACCGTAGCCCTTTCTCAGTAGCAACTTGAATATTCAAAAAAGTGCTACCTTTATCCTCATAATCAAACCCTTCAGAAAAAGAAAGCATCAAAAGGTCAATAAATTACTCCTCTGGCTTCTAAAAACATTACAAGAAATTTAGAGAATATATATATGTGACTACGAAACTATTCTTCAACTGAGACACAGTAAAACAAACAACACTTAATTGTGACTAAACAACCAAGCAAAATGGAATTTTAAACATAGAAAACCACTAATTGTTTTCAGACAGAACCAAGGAAATGGCCAGAAATAACGAATTTTAAGTCTGACATTTTTCAGTATACCCAGCTTCACTCAACCTAAGCCTTATTCAAGTGTAAATTAACCAATCAAAAACAAAGATTATGCATCAAAACAAGAGACCTTATTTTCCTCAAAAAAATCTCAGCAACCAAACAACAGGTGAACGAGACAAAAGGATGTTAGCTAATTTTTAGGGTTTCGACGCACCAAATCTCGCGTATCAGGAATTCAGAAAAAAAAAAAAAAAAAAAAAAAATACTAATCAGATTGTTATACATACATATATATAGAGAGAGAGACTCACTTTTGTGGTTCTTTAAGCGCTTGGCGACTTTGTTGCGTATGTAGCAGTAGTAGCTGAAGGCGACGAGCAACGAAGCGATGGCGAGTGAAGCGAGCACTACGATTACCACCAGAGCTATGCTCTCCTTCCTCTTATAATCGTCTGATTCCATTGCTTCTTGTAAACATACAAAAGCCCTAATCCAAACCCTAAAAAATGGTTGGGGAATGGAATGGTGAAGCCAGAGAGAGAGAGGAGATATATATATATTAGGAAAGTTGAGAGAGAGAGGAGATTTGAAATGAAAGAGCTCACAGTGAATCAGTGAGCGTCACTTTGTCTCTCTCTTCGCTTTTGTTGTTTTGTTTTGTGGCGCGGAGAAAAGTAAACAATAGCCCAAAGATTTTCAGTGATGTCCCCGTACTTTAGTGAATTTACGATTTAAGTACTTTCAGACTGTCATATTTATTGTAAAATGCTAAAAAAATTATGAAAATGAGTTTATCAGAATTGGAATGCATAAGTTTTTCACTTCATTTACCCTCATCTATTCTCACACCGGGGGCTGATTGGTAGGCTATTTGATTTTGACTTTTATTTTGATTCGAAACAAAATAAGTGTTCTATTAAACAGTATTTTGAATAATAATCAAAAATATGTTTGGTAACATCTATTAGTTGCAAAATTTTTAAAAGCAAAAAAATCAAATATATTTGATAAAAAAGTGTTTGCAAATTTAAAAATACAATGGTTAGTCTAAAAATGTCATTTAAGAGTAACTTTTTTTTTATAAAAAAAATTACCATTCATCACTACAGTGTCAAACACGATAATACGAAAACATATATAAAGACACCGGCAACTATTCACCAAAATGTTACAGAACCCGACAAAAACAAAAACACCAAAAATAAAATGCGTACCAAACATGTCCTTATTTTTTCATAAGAAGTAAGGCCAAATGTAAAATTGGCTCGGATTTGAAATTCATAAAAAATTAATTAAAATTTTAAACTAAATTTAATTGGATTTCAAGTTGGGCGTGCTTCTAAATACAATATTAAAGTTTTGAGTGCAAATATAGAAGAATAGAAGGGCCTTAGAACGAGAAACGACCCTTTTCAGGTGCTTTGTTATACTAGTATTTTTTGTAAGGCCGGCAACTGGGGAGAAAAGACAGAAAAGTGTTCCCTACTTTCTGAGTTAATAATGTTCTACGGACACCAATTATTGTCCTTACCACCCGATGAGAAATAAAGAAGGTAAATATAGAAAAAATTACATCGAGAATGCTAAGAACAGAATCCATCGTGCAATGGGTAATGATCTTAGGTGCAAGTTCACATAAAAAAAATCTATAACTAAGATTGGTGCAGATCCTTAGAGAATATTTTTAAAGAAGTTTGTTCTGCATAAATTCAACTAGGTGTCTTTTTAAAGATGAGAACATATGTTTAAGCAGTTTCCTTTTAAGGAAGAAGATTACTCCACTTCTGCAATCTAATTTTCTTTTTCGAAAAAAACTGAAATAATATAATAAACCTTTAAAAACACACCACAATAATTGTAATAGTACTCTTACACCCAACTAGGTAATTTTGTCTTTCTATTTAGTAAGAAGTGAATCTCTCCCCAAAATGCTGTCATTCAAAGGAGAAAGGCGTGTTACCACAACTCAATTATCAGCAATAAAATTTCAAAGAATCACTTGCTCCCGATTTTGAAGATACTGATCTACCCATGTCAGAAATAAAATACTCCGCAGATCAAATTGAATCATATTAAAGAACTCACCCGTCGCAAGTCACGCAAAAGATTTTTTTAACTCAGAGATAGACATTGATTAGTCATAAAATATCCTCCGAGCAGTGTAAGATCCAGATGTTTATGAATGACATTAAGCAAACAAAGCGCAATAAGCAAGGGACGTGCCAATCTCATTGTCAAATGCCTTACCAAGGATAACAGCGTTATAACAGAAAACATAGGGAACTTGATATCCATGTATCCATCCCATCAATCATAGCCCAACTCCTCCAATCATAACAGTACATGATAATGAATTATTACATATGAAATAAAGCTGAAAGGAAAAAAGAAAAGCAAAAAGAGAATAAAAGTTGAAAGAGATAGAAGAGTAAGAGAGGCCTCGCTTCAAAAATGGAGAAAATGAACTTCAATTAAAAAATCAAGCTGCAATCCGATTTAAGCTGCAACCACCACTGACAATGTCACCTCAGTTGCAGTTTGTTGTACTGATCTGCAGCTATGGACAATGATTGTATTGAGACAGGAAAAGCTGGGCCCATCTGCATATTCCAATGAACAGTTTCACAAGGATTGAAAAGCAAGTATGAATGAAAAATTAGAGAGTAAGACGCAACCACCACTCAATATCGGGTAATGTAAGCACCCACAATTCCACAAACCATTTAACCTACTGGATGCAGAATATATACATATACATGAACTCTAGAACAAAAAAGGAAGGGTAAAAAAAAGAAAGAAAAAAAAAAAGATGGGGAAAGTTGTTTGTTGATAGATGATGGGATTTGAGACATGATCCACTGCCTGTATGAATAATATTCCCTTTTATTAGAAAGCAGTGCTTTTCCATTACGTTCATGGTTAGAAAGGAATGCTAGAATCCTCCATGCTGAAAGAACTCTTGGATGCTTTCTGGGGGTGAAGTTAGTTTCTTACCGTCATCCTTGGGGACTAAGGCATTTAAAGAAGTGCGTTTAGAGACTCTTAAGAGAATCTCAATTTTAAGCTTAAGTTACTGTTGCATAGCACATTCATTTAAAATCCATACAAAGTTTTCTACTTGGAGAAAAATATGAAGCTTAATTTGTATAGGTGCTGACATCACAACTAGGTTATTGGAGGTATAAGCACTCAAGGCAATAACATTTGTTCCAATTGTAGGCTAGCTGGTACAAGGTTTGCTATTGGAGTGATATGGACTCTTCTTTAAGGCGACAAGAATCGAAGTCTATGAAGCCCAAACGCATAGTCATGAACTTATGGTAGATGATTCATTGGTACCGATTGAATGTTTGACGAGAGATGGTTCTGGCCAATGAATTCAAGTACGCTGGATATATCGTGGGCAATTATTTGTTTCAGGAATACCCCTTGGCTATATAATTCCCTCAAATGTTTGGTTCCACAACATCACAATTCTTCAATCTTTTCAAGAGACACTAGGCACTGTTAGTAACATAATACACCTTCAACTATCCGTCTAGGAATCCTACTTCTTGCATGATCCAACAATTCTGAATCAAATATCTATCTTCCTGTAATGACTATCTTAAAATTTGAAGTGCCCCCCAAGGTTAAAAGTTGAAAACTTTGGCTTGATGGTGGTCCATGTAAAGGTTTACACTTCTGAAATGCTCCCAAAGAGGAGGGCTCACAAGGCTCTTACACAAATGTTTGGATACTTTCTTTATGTAATAATGTGGCCATCAATTTTTCCCTTTTCATGCCCGGGCACATACTCCGTGTCAGAGGATGTCTGCTTTTTTTAATGGTAACTGGTGTGCAACACAACTTTTCATCTCCTCTAGATGCTGTCTTTGCCAGTTTTAGCAAGGAGAAATAGGTTGCGTTTAATGACTACATATTATTTATGCTAATTTTTGGTGCATTTGAGTTGAAAATTATTATTTAAATTTTCAAGATTAATAAAATGACATTATTCCATTTGAATACATTCAAGGCCACTAGGGGTCGCAAAAAATGACCCAACCCATCAACCCACCAAGTAATAAATGAATTTGGGTGAACCATTTTATAGTCCGGGTCAAAAATGGGTCAGACTTAAAGGACCCTTATATATTGACCTGTCCAATATCATCTAATTCATCTCTGCTGCTCTCTCTCTCTCTCTCTACGATTTCTCTCTCTACCACGCTACCTCTATCACGATCTCTCTCTACGTCTCTCTACGATTTCTCTCTCTCTCTCTCTCTCTCTCTCTCTCTACGGCTCTCTTTGGATCCCTTCTCTCTAATTTTCTATCTTGATCCCTCTCAATCTCCAAGATTTTTGTCCTTCTCTCTCTATATATATATGTATGTATTTCTGTGTATATTTCTCTTCCAGCCTGAGTTATCAAAATCAATCAACAATACAGGTTAGGCACAGGAACTTTCACTATTTACATTGATTTTTTTTTTTTTTTCTTTTTTTTTTGGTTCCTTTCTCTACCACGCATTTGGCTCGATTTGGTACACACATGCACAATCTAATACATCACTGTGCATATATATATATGGGGGAGGGGGCGTGGAATATACACACACACATTGGGAATCTAGGGTTTTTTTAGTAGAATTATTTCAAGGCTAAACGGGTCGGGTCATGTTAGTGGGTCGGGTTTTCTAAATGAGTTGACCCGTGGTACTTGGATTTATGATATTTGAAGGTTAAAATTATATTTTGCTATGTGATTTGAGAATGATTAGTTATTTCTAAATGGTTGAATGGTTTTTTTTTAGGTAGAATTGTTTTAAAGGTTTAGCATGTTAGGTTTGTGTAAATGGGGTCTTATAAATGGACCGGATCTAGTCAACAGGTCATCTCATGTTAACCTAGATTTACATAATGGAAATTTTATAAAATAATATAAAAGAAGAATTTTGAAAAAAGATTGTAGGATATATATGAATGGGATTTTTCAACCTTTACTTACCTTCACTCGAATAGCAATAAAAATAATTTTTTATCCCAATTTTTTAGTAAATTAAGATGGAAATAGACTTTTACTGGAAAAATAGCAAGAATGTATTTTTTTTCAAAATGGGGAAAAAAAAAAAAAAGGGTCATTACAGGTTGACCCAGTCCATTTCGACCCAAACCATATTCAACCCGTTACAATGGGTTGACTATGGTTTACAACCCATATTTGACGCGGACCAAATCTGACACAACCTGCCCGTTTGTCACCCCTTAAGTAATTAACGAGTGTTTTGGTACGCTTGTAAAATGTCTACTATTCAGTCTTGGAACTCTTTTCTGACTAATAGAGTCAAGTCAAACTATGATGGATTTTTCTTGGTAATCCAGGTAAGTTAAGATTGATAGAAATATAGTTCCTTAACAATCTGTGAGTATTTGATGCCCTTTGAGTGAAATGAGGCTCTCCCTAAACATGGCCGCAAGCCAAAAATTTAGATCTAAGTTGCATCTAGGTGGACGGTGAGTCCTAAATCATCATATATCAGGCAAAAGCAAGTAACCAAGCAAGTAGGATATATGGGCATGAGTAACAAGTTTTGGATCCCTTGGGGCTCACTTTTTCTTGGGTATATCAGGCAACTAGTAACAAGCAAATTTTACAGCTATTGGAAGATCTAGATTAGGGCTCCATTTGTATTCAAAATGAATGGATTCAGATTCACTTAACCAAAGGAATGAACTTTCAACCCAACCTCACACCAAATTCCTTTACATACATCAATACTAGAGTTTCGGTTAAGCTTGAGTTCGGAAGTTTGATATGAAAATCGGGTTGGGTTTGGTTGACAGCAACCAAAGAACTATTTACCTCAAAATAACAAAGTAATGAAACATCCTTCCAGAATTACTTCTACCATTAAAATGAACAATTAAACCATGATATACTGAATTAACAATTGTCCCCTAGAAGTGAAGTATATAAAATTTTGGGTCAGGCTTGGTTTGACAATTTTTGGATTGGCTTCAGGTAACCTAATAACTTGCAGATTAAAACTAAGCCCAGCCTGAGCATTAAAAAATGCTGTTCATACCCGTAAAAATCAGGTTAGGTTTAGGTTTGCCTGCACAAATTGTAACGCTAACAAGGTTTATGTGATTCACTTGAAAGTGTGTCGCCTTTAAGTGTGCTTTTTAATAAAGAACAGGAAATCCCCCGAGTCTGAGCCATAAGCCCTTTAAAACCTAAGATAGAAACAAAATCCTAAATAGGAATATAATATAGCCCAAATGAAAAATCATTAACCACGTCATAAAGTTTCTTAAGACCATGACTTTTGACATTTATCAGACCTTTCGCAAACAGAGTTTTTAGTTTCACTAGATTTCACTTTGGTGCAGCCTGTTCCATAGAAGTAGAATATATACAGGCCAAGTTTGAGCAGTTTCATTTCAAGAATCTTTGCAATAGAATACTTGTCAAAAAAAAAAAAAAAATCTTGGCAATAGAATATGCCAAGAGTTTCTTGTTAAATTCTGTTTACGAGTTGGTAATTGCTCCAAAAATATCTGAGAGTAAGGTTCATGAGCTCACCGTGCTGCATAAATGGAAGGAGTTTACGTACCCAGCATACTTGGAACCTGCAAAAGAAACAAATATATGTCAAGGAAAAAAGAATATCTATGCCATGGCCATGGCAACAAATTCTAGAACAATTGTAACCCAAACAATCTCTCTTCAGTTTGACAGATTCTTTTGTGAAGCTCTTCAATGATATGGGAGTGAATTTTGGTTCTGATCTTGTATAATCATTCTACTAAAATTTTACATGGGTTGCAGGGTTGTGCCCCCACTGGCTCTCTCATTGAAATGGCACTAACTGATAATGAGGGGGAGTCATGGCCATGTGCAATGTAAAACAATCTAGTTATCCACTAGATCTACAGAGAACTGAATCACATTGAAGAGACCAAAAGGCCGAAAAGAAGGGAAAAGAATGTGGTGGAGATTCTGAGAAAAAAGATAATTGTTATGCATTAAAACGATAACGTTATAAAAGCTGGCTGGAGAGGAGAGACAATGAAGGTGACCTATAAAAAATAAAATCAAGGGTTTCTCGAGTATAACCAAGTGTTATTATATTGTTATTAATCATGAATTTCAATTTATTTACCCTGTAACTTTACAGGTTTATATATAAAGCATTGGCATGACTCAATGAACTTTGAAACCAATTTCTGAAAATAGGTATTTTGAAGTATAAAAAGTTATAAGAAACATAAAAACAAGGTTATTAAAATTAAGTTATATGAAAGCTGTTATGTTGGTATATGTTTTCAAATATGCTCGTCAGCACAAACTTTTTTGGTTCCAAAAATCATATATGTTTAGCATGTGTTCAATTAAGAATGTTCTACTCTAAATTTTTTAATACTCTCTTTTAGCATTCTGAAATTTTCACCAGTCTGAAGACTGAAAATTTTGAAATATGAGGCAAATTTATTACAAAGAACAGTTAGTATAATTGAATAATCTGCATCAACAGGCCATTGAATTGTGGCCCTTGTGGGGGAATCAGAATTTTATAGTGTGTTAAGGAACCACGTGAGCACCTGCCCTCGGTGGTTTCTGGATAGCCTATCATTAGCCTGTTGTGCAATTATGTTCCAAGTTCATATGAATTAGATTTTCATCCAATTTCGTGTTAGCCCATGTAAAACAATAAGCATTTTATTGATATAAGCTACTTACTCTTCTTTAAGCCTACAGGTTTTGCAAGCAAAAGAGCATTCACAAATGCACCGACATTTTCACGTAAAGCCTCCTCTGAAAAACTCACCTGTGAATAATCATCAATTTCAAGAGAAGTGTCATTTCAAGCACATATTTATTTCATTATAAAGCAGTAAAACAAAGTAGAATAACTGTACCTTCCCAAGCCCTACATGCACAATTGCAGATGGGTCTTTCTTTAAATCAATGTTTTCCTTTGCCTCTCTCACCACTCTCGCAACATCAGTCGTCACAGTACCACTCTGTATAACATATTGTGACAGATAATTATGAGGACACCTGAGTTGTTTATAGGATTGTAAATTTAATTAAGAAAATACTATAATATGAACTCACTCTAGGATTTGGTGTCAAACGGCGAAGAATTTTTGATATCTGCAAAAACATTGCAAAACTCCCCATATTTGGCAATGCATTTGATTAATTAATAAATTCCAAGACAATCAAATTCACAAACCTCTTTTCCAACAACAGGCATTATTTTTGGAGTGGCAATACATTTGTCAAAATTGACCTTAACATTGCCTGCACACGATTAAATCAAATTTTAGAGCCAAAATCATAAGTTGGCAATAGTCCAGATAAGAGAACCAGGTTTTAAATCAAACAGTTTCCTATTCAGGCCAAATAAATCAGAAATGCATTTTGTATCTGCAGAGTATAAAAAAGAAAAGGAAAAAGGTGAATAGTTGTCCATGAGTATTAACGCCAAACGATTGAAATCACTAGATGGGAAGTGGAGGGTAATTTGGAAGGAAAGCCATGGTGGATGATTCCTTTTGCCTCTCACTAAACAACCAAAAAAAAAAAAACACACACACACACACAAAAAAGAAAGAAACTGATTCATGACATGAATTAAAAAATTAACAAAGAAATTTGACTGAACGTTAAGAGTGCAAAGAAAAACATAGTATGCTTAGGTATTGGCAGGCCATAATTTGCATCTATTATTCACAGTAGGGACCATTGCTCGGTGCTGTAAAAGTTTGGACTGCCAGGCATGAGAGCGCAGAAAGAAAATAATTTTACTATAGCCATTATGTGCCTATAGAGCTAAAAGTTTAGATTTGTACCTAATAAACTCCTCCCAACAGATCACTACAATAAGCCTAGCAATAAGAAATAGGGAATGTCAGAAACAGTTCACGTGTATCTAGTCAATTCCTGTGTTGTACTTTTTGTGCATAACCCATGCATAGTCAGCTTCGATTTTCATTTCATTTAGAGTATGTTCTATTTACTTTATGAGTACATGCCGGCACAAATTATCATAGTACAACAATTATAATAGAAACGGTTCACATGTGTACCTAGTCAATTCCTGTATTGTACTTTTTATGCAAAACCCATGCATAATCAGCTTTGATTTTCATTTCATTTAGAGTATGTTCTATTTACTTTATCAGTACATGCTGGCACAAATTATCATCATACAAAAATAATAATCAGTCCCCATGGCGTACTAAAAACAATAACAAATTTACCATTCTTGATTTCCTCGATAAGCTCTGGACCGCCAACTATATCAGCTCCTGCAGCTCTTGCTTCGTCTGCAGCTGTTCCTTCAGCAAAGACAACCACCCTAACAGACTGCCAATTGACTATTATCAGATAAAACAAAATAAGATTACAGAATAAAATGTCCAAAATTATACATTGATCAAATATATACTGTACCTTTCCAAGATTATGAGGCAGTTTCACAGAACCACTAAGCTTCTGCACTTCGATTCAGATAGCAAGGTAAGCTGAATCTCTTAAAGAAGTGAAAAATGAGATGCTGAACATACTAATGCCTTAAAAATATGTAAGCAACAGAATTCAACCAGAGAATATACAACAAACACTTTGCATGCCATTCTAAACAAATGATAGTGATCTAATTTCATATGAATAACGATTAGATATGCAGACTTTCCGGGGGTTAAGGAGCAACTGAGACACAGTGGAACCCAGTGACCAAGTTTGAAGGAATCACAAATCCGATAAAATAGAGTAGACATGCCAAGTGACAAGTCACACAATGAGACTAATTGTACAATTTGAAATTTTACTTGTAAGTTGTAAGTGGTGTTTAAGTTTAAAAATCTATGTACTTGTTGATGGTAGTTCGTGATGATGTGAGGAGATAATTCCACGTCTGTCGGGGATGCTGAGATCAGAGGCTGAGTGGAGCTCCAAGCTAGCACAAGGTACTCACCGTAGAGGAGATTGAGAGAGAGAAGGCAGATTTGTTTAACACCCTATGGTAGCTCGAGCCCTAGAGGACCATTCTCAATGGTTATGGTTGTGCATATGTATATTTTTCAACCTCCATAAATGGTGAGAGTTAAGCCCTATTTATACTACTTTCATTTGGGTAAGGACCCTTGGTCATAAGAGCCAACTCCCTCTTTATCCAATGGTCGCTTTACCTAGGTAAGGACCCTTGGTAACGAGGGTAGCTCAGTCTTTATCCAATGGTCATTCTATGAGATATATATTTAATGTATTATGTGGTCTCTATTACTCGAGCTCAGCTATTAGGTATTAAACATTCTCTCCCCCTTGTGTAGACCTCGAAGTGAGGCGATTCCTTGTAACTCAGCCACCTAACCACTAATACTCAAATTCCCGCAACTGAAGATAAGGAAAGAGCCTTCCTCGGGGTTCCGCCTTCTCGCCCCGCGGGCTCTATCCTAGATCTGCGCCTCGACATCCCTACAGTTAAAAGGGAGCTCGAGAAGAGAAAAATGCCCGAGGTTACGCCTGCAGGAAGCAACCTCGGAAAGGAAGGGAGGAGGGGCCCATCTGACTGGAACGGGGCGCGTCCACAGGAGAGGAAGGGTAGCGACCCCTTCCTCGATCAGTAAATTCAGTTAGAGGACGAGTAGCTCGAGGATACTTGGTCCTTTCAGGAGCGCGCCAGATAAGTACTGACCAGGTGTGCTTATTTTCAGAGATGGTGCCACTCGAGCAGACGTTGTGGCACGTATATTAACGTACTCATACAGTACCTCTGAGAAGTTATCTTCTCCATGCCACAATTAGTGATATACAGACACGTACATGGTGCACATTGAAACAAGGAAGGTAAATGTGAACATATAAAGTTGACTGTGCAAAATGTCAAATAAAAGAGTCATAAGGGAATTAACCTTTTAAATAACCCAGATGGAGGTAAGATCACAATCTAATCAACTTCAAAGAAGCAGTAGGGGCATTTTTTTAAAAAAGTAGCACTAAAGAACTAAAGAATATTGTACAGCTTATATGAGAAAGTTCCTTGTGTTAGTGAAAAGATCCATAACCTAGATTTACGGGATATTAAAAATTTGTAAACGTTAAGGAGAATGGACGATCTTACCACATATGACAACGAAAAAGCATGTCTAGTAAATGATTAGTTGGACTTTTCTAGTAGAATGGGAGGCCACACTTCTACGAAGTACTGCAGACAATATAATACGTAGTCGCTCAACCATGACATCAATACATCTTATATGGTTTGTTTGTATCTCTGATATCTCAGTTGGAGGGTATGCTGGTTATCTCCATGTATATAGACAACCAAACTTCAACTTTCATTCACCATAGGGTTACAAATCTACCAAATGGATGGAGTATGAATTAATTCTATCAGTGGGAGAATACTTTCTTTCCCCATATGTCCAAGAAAAAGGAAAGGAAATTGGGGAAGGCGAGAGTTATGGGCTCAAATAAACTCATCGGTTATATTCCACATAGAACCCTTGAAGATCAATATGAACAAGCAGATCACATTCTCAACTCTAGATAAAATATGTTACATGTGAAAACTAGAGAAGGAAGATATTTTTACCTCTCGATAACAATATCATGACCTGGAAAATAGCTTAGTGAATATAATTAACTGCCATTTGAAGCCACCGAAAGTGGACATGTTCAATCACCATCCCTGAACTAGTTGGTCATGAAAAGCATAGTAGAGTATCTGAAGTTATGCAATTGGCATCATAACTCTAACATACATGACATGAACAATAACAAATATGAGAATAATAGACTTTAAGTTGAATTGTGCTCAAACAATTACAATATTTTTCTCAGATTCCCATTTTTTTTTTTTAATTATAGATACTTCAAATTTGCAAGAGCACAGCAAATAATCCAACAAACAATATACTAGTTCCATAGCCAGAATGATGCATAATGAGTGAAACATTTTTACACATGTTATAAAAAATACCAGGTCAGTTCGACGTAGTTCAGGAGCCAAATTTACATGAGCTTCAACAGTTTCATTGAAATTCCGCTTGGCATTAGCCTGAACCACCAGTACAAACACATAGAAATTAGTATTAAAAATTCAAGCAAAGAGGAAAAAAAATTAAGCAGAAATATTTAAGAGCAACGAAGCAACTTATGGGAAAGACATTTTCACTACATTAATTAATGGCAACAACTCTTCAAATAATTTAGATCGACGAAATACTGAATGAAAAGAACTTTCTGGTGGAATAATTGTAAAAATAAAATAAAAATCTTAATTTCCAAAACATGTAGGGAATGGTAGTTCACCACCCAACCAGTAGTAATCTATTCACATTTCCAGCTCCCTACACCTAGTTTACTTTAGTCTTTAATCCTACATCGCAATAAGGGGCATAGAAGAAATGCATTTAGTTATTGAATGAACGGCAGTTAACAATGTACTACAGGATTATATGAACAACCTTGCTATGAATATGATGTATAAATAAGAATCTCAAATGTTATATTTGTCTCCAGTCTTTCCCTTCCAACACCCACATAAGCTGAGCATACAGTCATAGGGTAATGTCTTTTAAGCAGTTAAGTATCACTTAAGATCCAAACTTTCTTAAGTCTGGTTTCAATTTATGTACATTCTATATAATTATAATCTAATAACAGCACGTAATCTACATAAACTACTTTTACAAGGCAAATTTGACAACTTGAGTAGGTAAAGGGGAAAATAAATATATATATATATATATATATATATATATATATATAATTAAAAAAAAAAAAAAAAAAAAAGAAGGAAAGAAAAAGGGCATTAAGGATAACAGAAACGGATTCACATTCATCATTAAAGCAACAAATGAATAGGAAAGACTGACCTTGACGAGCCGAATTGCCTCCTTAAGATCGTAGATAACCTTTTCCCCCTTCCTCTGTTCAACCTTAATGAGAGTCGGAAATGGAACCTTCTCCTCTTCAACAATATGCCCCGGCCTAATCCTCCGATGATCAGCCTCAATCCTCTTCCTCTCTCTCTCGAATTGCTCATTCCCCTCCTGTCTATCCTCTCTCTGCTCATTTTCTGCCGACACGTCAGCTCTATCTTCAGGCAGTGGCGCCACACGAGATGGATACGACACCGGCGTTATCGATGGCACATCTTTTACGTACCGAATATCTTCTCGAGTCCAAGTCGGTGCCTGGGCGTTCAAGGGTCTTTCGGAGATTGTATCAGCGGGTTGTGGCGTTCGATGAGGGGCTGTGGATTGAGGAGGCTCTTCTTGAGGCGGAGATGGGTCTTTGGGTTTTACAGGGTACGAAACTGCTTGTACAGGCGGAGGTGTCCTTGTTAGTTCGTGAGGTCGAGTCTCTGAGTTTGGTTCGGAAGATGAATCTGGTGGTGGTGGTGGTGGTGATGAAGAACTGAGTGATCTGTGAAACCCTAGAAATGACTTGGTCAGAGAGTAATTAGTAGTGCGGAGGAGGAGAGAAAAATGAGAGGGAGTTCTGGCGAAGCAATGACGGCGAGCTTGAGAGAGAAGGAGTTCGAAAGCCGCCATTGGTTTTCAGTTCGGAGCTCCAAGAGAGAGACAGGGAGAGGACAAGACGAGGGTTTTGCTAGTTAGCAAATACTCTCAGCTTTACCTTCCCAAAAAAATTAAAAAATCTAATAACCATCGGGAAAAAAAAAATTACCCTCACCTTTTCAAAAGAACGAAAATGAAGTAGGTGGTCGAGTTTGAGCCAACACGAAATAGAAAAAGGTGAATTTCAATTAATTTTGTTAATTTGATTAAATTTATTTTCAATTAATTTTTGATAGCTCAACTCATCTAATCAATTTAATTACTCGTATAATATATAACAATAATAAATAATAATAAAAACAGTGTACAATAATATAAAATAAAAAAAATTCCGTACACTAAACTTGAGATTTGGAGGATGTAAACAAATTTGTTTTAAAATATTAATTAATTGAGTAATTATTGAGATGAAATAATAAATAAATAAAATTAGTCATTTAAAAATTGTTGGATTAATTGTATCTCTTTGATTCCTGAAATGTAAGATGTTAATATGAAAGATTAAGTTTCAATTTTTTTTTAGGACAATACTTGATGGTGAGCAGGTTAACTCTACTTATCGATTATGATTATGTGTTCCAATGATAAGTGGACACATCAGCTTTAATGACAAATTTAAAAAGTAATAGAAAAAATAGAATAAAGTCAGATTGACCCGTTTCAATTGAATAACTAACAACCTATATTCAAGTTCTATTTTTTCTCTCTCTCTTTCACCCCTTCCAGTTTCTCCATTCTCCACTATTCTTCTTCCTCTCCCAAGACAAAATCAATCGATAGGCCTCGTATTGTTAATTCTCTTCCTAGTGCATCTTCAATGGGTTTGTAGATGTACCTCAATTAGATTATATAATTTATGTTATTTATAACATTTAATATGATATATAAAATATTTTTTCTCAATAAATAAACAAATCAATTAGAATTTTTTTTTTTCGAAAATTAATCAATCAAATTTTTTTTACTAACATGATTGTAGCAGAAATTTAAGAAGCTCTGTTTGCTATTACATTAGTTGCATTCTTGATCTCCAAACATACATATTCATCGTTACATAATCTATATACAAACAATTCGTACCAGAAAGCATACATAATCATGATAATAGTGATCAAATAGGATCAGAAGTTCAACTTATTAGGAAGTCGTGAGAACAAGCAAGAAAAATAACATCACAGCCCACCCTTGCCTATTGAGTGATATGAAGCCCAAGAGATTTCTATTGATTAATGATGTTCCATGAAAGCTGAGAGGAAGAAGAATAGTGAAAAGAGGACGGCGTGAATCTGGGAAAGGGGTGAAAGAGTGAGAAAAGAAATACATAGGGTTTGAAGACAGGCTACCCAATTGAAGCGGGTCGATCCGGTTTTATTCTATTTTTTTATTTTGTCATTAAATCTGACGTGTCCACCTATTATTGGAACATATAATCGATCCGTAGAATAAACCTACTCACTAGTGAGTAGGCAAGTATTGTCCATTTTTTTAATCTTAAAACAAAAGGACAAAAAAAAAAAAAAAGGTAGCCAAGTTGTTGATTCAGCTATTAAATTTGAAACATTCACAAATAAAGATTGTCTCTACACTGAGAGAGTAGCAATTTGAACTCCAATAATACACTAAAAAAGAAAACTTGTGATTTGAATATTGTTATGTTTACTTCTATTTTCAAACTAATTTCAATTATTAATAGCTTATTTGTAACTAAATTAAGATTTAAGTAACTTGGTGTGGTATCAAGTTTCAGTTAATGCGTAACAATAAAGTGGATTATCTTGAAATTGTAAAAAAAAATTAACCCCGAGTGTGCATTTGTTTGAAAGAGAAAACTATTCTTACGAATAAACAAATGTATTTTTAATGCCTCCCATATTGTTTTAATCCCTCCCATTTTCAGAGCAATCCACTCAAAAAGAGGAGAGAGAATATTCTCATCATATGAATGAAAAAGAGAACTTACACTTCCACCATCACACACAAGATATGACCAAATAAAGAGGAAATAAACGACAAAAAATGAACATTGTTATAAATATAATAATAGAACATAATAAATTGATAGAAAGAGAAGAAACACAATAAATTGAGAGAGAGAGAAGAGAACTTTCTTTATTTCTTTTATTTTTTTCGTAACTATAGAACACCAGAATGAGCTAATATTTATAGTAATACAATTTGCTTGTAAAGGAAGCTAAGAGTGCAATTTGCTATATGCATGCCTCATGATAATTGATGTGTGTTTTTATTAATCAATAATAAAATATCACTCGTAATAGAATGAATCTTTGTAGGATAGGGCTATGTTGAGCGTGTTGAATCTCAAGGACTATGGTGATTTATTGAGTCTTCAATTAATGTTATTTTAATTTAAAAAGAGATTTGATTTGTTGTATTGTGCTGCAATTCAATAACATATAAGAAAATAAACGGAATAAAAAGATTGAGATCAAGAGAAGAAATACTTAGAGATTGAATTCACCACGAATCTCATACTATAGTCATCTGTTCAACCTTGGGATTTCAATAATTATGTATTATATGGAATTAAACTCAATAACATTCTTTTAATTCAGATTTAAAGAAAGATGTTTCATTGAACTTAGCTAACTATAACCTATCTTCGGTTGGCACGAATTATCTACCAATTTACTTCTAACTAATGTTGCAGTATAACTCGTCTTCTCTAGGCATATAATATGAAAACATTCATCCATGAAAAACGTTTGAATACCATTGTATGATCTCCATTCTTATGTCCGACAGGGCTCTACCAGATATCGTCCAATCAGAGTGGGTTGAGAATAATTTATAAGCAGTTATATCTAAGACAATGTAATAACTAGTCAAAAACTATTAATTCATTAAACACCAGTTGAGTTGGCTCAATTGCTCAAAATCATGCAATCAAAATACATAATATATTAAAGTTTCAAAGTACAGAACAATCAAACTATAGTATTCGTATTTGGGCTACATCAATGGCCTAAGAGAGGAATTAGCTACTCATGACGATGCAAGATATCATCTGTATTGTTGTGGTCTTCATCGCCATGAACTGCCAAAACTCCTTTAGGATCTTCTTCTTCAAAACCCTAAAAGCCGCCGTGAGAGAGAGATACGAGACAATTGATGGATAAGAGATGGATCCCCCCTTTTCTGTGGCCTTCTCCTCTTCTTTTATAAGAGAAATTCAGTTCCAATCCCCTTTGGATTGGTTTTACGGCTTTTAGTAACAATTGGGCCCATAAGGAAATAAGGAAATATGATTTTTGGTAATTCTCGCATGTATTTACGACTTCCAGGACGTCCAAGCTCGAGCTTTAGAGTCCCAGGCTCGAGCATTTGGGTTCAGGCTCGAGCATCACCTGTCAGCAACTTTGTTTGACTTTGCAACGCGATTTTGACCTATTTAAAGTGCGAATTTGGAGATGGCTATTAGAGACAAAAACATTAGGCTTCGAGTCTTCTTTCCAAAGCCGCTGAGTTTGCTTAATTTGCAGTTCTGAGTCAAAAGTTATGGCCAAAATACTAAAGAAGGTTTAGAGTTTTTAGCCATGTTCGAGCCCGAAGTGTTGGTGCTCGATCCCAAGGTGTTGGGCTCGAGCTTTGGGGCTGTAGGCTCGAGCTTTAGGTGTTAGTGCTCGATCTTTGAGGTTAGGCACGAGGTCTAGGAGCTTGGAAATTAATTCTTCAAATTCCGACGCCTTGTGCTCGAGCTTAAGGGTCAAGGCTCGAGCACCCTATGGTCAGCCTCGAGCATCCTTTGTTCAGGCTCGAGCCTGAAGGTGCAAGGCTCGAGCCTTAGACTCTAAATTCTTCCGAACTTCACCATTTAAGCTCTCGGCTGGTTCTGGACGATCGACAACGACGCGGTAAACTTCATTATCATTCTTTTCATCATAAAAGCCCGGTTTTAACTGCTTCTTTGGGAAAACACCTAAAAACATGAAATAAATATAAATCAGTATAAAACATGATAGATATATCACTTTAGGTTTTAACATATGCGTATTTAGGGGCTCAAATATGCAATATTTAGCGTTTATCAATAATCATTACAATTCAACAAGCACGGTAATCACAAATGCAATTTGCAGTATTCATAGTCCCAATGCACATGTGTATTAATTGTGTATTAATAATTATAGAGACCACCTATATTGTAACACTCCCCCTTGGGATCCAAAATGCTACACTAAGAACATGTCTCGTTAAAACCTTGTCAGGAAAACTCATTGGGACAAAACCTGAGCGAAGGAAAAATAATACAATATTCTTGTGTGTCTGGAAAAAGTATTGCATGGTTTACAACTGCCTCATTAAAACCTTGTCAGGAAAACCCATTGGGACAAAACCTGAGCGGAAGAAAAAGAGTATAGTAAACGTCAAAGCCTTTTTAAGTTCTCCCCCTCGTTAATTCTAAAGATCTTTAAGTTGTCGCATCTCAATGTTGTGTACCAAATTCTTGAATGTTATGGTTGGCAGTGCCTTAGTGAGCAGATCTGCTGAATTTTCACATGAACGTATTTGCTGAATATCAATTTCACCATTCTTTTGGCATTCATGTGCGAAAAATAATTTTGGTGAGATGTGTTTCATCCTGTCACTTTTGATATAACCTTCTTTCATCTGTGCAATGCATGCAACATTATCTTCATATATTATTGTGGGGTTATTTGTTGTTGATGAGAGGCCACGTGTTGTTCTAATATGTTAGATTATGGATCGTAAATAAATGCATTCCCTGCTTGCCTCATGAATTGCGAGCATTTCATAATGATATGAGGAAGTGACAATCATTGTCTGTTTCATAGAGTGCCATGAGATAGTAGTGCCACCACAAGTAAACATATACCCTGTTTATGATCGAGCTTGATGTGGATTAGAGAGATACCCGGCATCTGCATATCCAATTAACTGGGATTTTGATTCTTTTGAATAAAATAATCCCATATCAATTATTCCACGAAGATATCGCAATATGTGTTTGACTCCATTCTAATGTCTACGGGTTGGTGTAGAATTATGTCTTGCTAATAAGTTGACTAAAAAAACAATGTCA